GCAGGCAGCCGATTGATGTTTCTCTCACCCCCCTCTCTCTCCTCGGGTGAGGAAAAGAAACACAAGTTTCCACCGAGGATGAAATTAGAAAATGAAAGCCGGCATGTAAATCTCGCTCTGACTTATTTACATCCCCCAGTGCTTCTCTGAGGCTAGTTCCTCCTCCACAGCGGCCACATTTCAAGGGCCCAGTGCCATATGCCCATTGTTATCGCCCCCATTTTACAGATGAGGAAACTGAGGCTCAGAGGGGGTCAGTCAGTAGCCCATGGAGCTGGGATTTGAGTCCCCACTATAAGTTTTTAAAATACCAGTCATTTTATTATGATGTAGAAAGACAATATGACAACGCCGTGCAAGTCTGTGATGAGGAAAAAACATCCTCACCTACCCCTGGTGGCATTTTACCTCTACTGTATTTCCTTCTTGTCTTTTTGTTTTGTTACCTGTGGTCTCTATGTGCTGCTCGGTTTGGTTGATTAGGCATTCGCTTTTTGGCAGAGTCTTGCTCACCTGGCACACACCTGGCCTTCGTCATCCGTACGTTAGAGAGCCGGGCCCTCACCCGCCCGCCAGGGCTGTTGTGAGGCTAAAACGAGGGAGGGCATGGAAAGCCCTGGGCCCTGTGTTAAATATGCAGTGGAGCATAATGAATGCTTGCGTTTCCCCTCTAAGAAAAAGGGGGCTCATTGCCCCCCCCCCAGGCCTCTCCTTTGCCTTCCAAGTCGGCGCTGTCCAACAGAAATTAGTGCGAGTGATGGGGATGTCCTACCCCCAGGTCCGCAGACCTTTTCTATAAATGTCCAGAGAGTAAATACTCCAGGTCTTGTGCATCACATAGAGTTGTTGTTGCTGCTTCTCTTCCCTCCTCTCCCCCTTTCTCTGCTCCCCCTTCTCTTCTCTTCTTTCCCTTAAAAACAATTTAAAAGCCCTTTTTAGCTCCTAGGCCATAGAGCAACAGGCCAGGGGTGGGAGGGCCAGCTTGGCCCCATTCTAGACCTGCGCCTGGCCACCCGGTGGCTGGCACACAGGAGCTGCATTTGAAACGTTCTTTCCTTTTACTTTAAATTCAAATGCCCACGCGTGGGTGGTGCTCCACTTTGGACACGTGGCCCTGGGTGCCTGCGGCTCAGCCTGTCCCTTAGCCTTGAAAGGGCCCTTCAGGCTGCAAGCTAAGCTGCCTGGCCGGCCTCCTCCCCAGCACCAGGCATTTCAAGGGCTCCTGAGAGCAGCTGGGCCGAGCC